ATATATATATAAAATGAAATAAATTGGTTGGTAATTTATTTTGACATAATCTGTAGTGAAACATTTATTTATATCCCAGGTTTACCTTGAGAAGCATGTCTTTTAATATTCTCTACACTGCATTTACTTTTTACACTTTTTTTCTTATTAAAACAATAAAACTATTTACTATTTTACTATTTACTATTTTAGTGTTAAGAGATATGATTATTAATATGTTCATTTGATGCTTCTATATGCTATGCATATACTATAACAGAATGCCTCAGTGAAACTATTTATGACAGCTTTAATACAATTATTTAACCCTATATGTTGAAACAAAGCAAAAACTAACATATTTTGCAAATAAACCCAGAAAAACCTCTATTAGAATTTTTAATAAAATTACTCTATAAGAAAAACTTTTCATTTTTTCTGCTGTTTTCGAAGAACCAAATTAAAACTATTAGCATTTGTTACTCATCTTCTCTCATGACAGTTAAAAACAAGAGTTAAAGTTCCTTCTTATTAACATAATTACCCGTATCTGAGGTTTATTTTGCCTTGAGATGACATGTGTTGTGAATTGCCGCTATATAAATAAACCGAATTGAATTAAATAGAATTTTGCGACAAGGATGTACTCTGACCCGCTTAATCCGGTAAGCGACAACCTTTTCTTCTGCAAGCTTTTCACGCTAGATCAGTTCCCCCAAAGTCGGCCCTCGCCTTCCTGCAGGGTTTAAAAGGTTTTCCTGCTTCAGCTGAAGCAGAGAAACCTCTGAAACCTGCAGGACGGCGGCCCTTGAGGAGCGACTTTGGACATGCCTGCGCTAGATGCACTGAAACGCTGCCTCTCTCTTAGAGTCTTAGGTATAAGGTTCTCTGACCGAACTTCAGCAAAGTCAGACTGCTTAAAAGATGTAGCCATGAACTAATGTCTGGGGTTGCAGGGTTGCAGCAGCCAAGCAGAAAAGAACCTGCTTTCTGCCTGAATTGTCTTTAATTGATGAATCATCCCAGATTTCCTCTGTGTTATCACTCCTGTTCGGATGCCTCCCCACATTATGATACTGCCACCACTGTGCACCGTCATTTTTTTTCCTTTTTTTTTTTTTTTACTGTGGTTATTTTCTTGCTACTCTGTTAAAGGAAAGGGGGAATAAATACACTTTAATCCTCTTAGGGGTTTTTTTTTTTCTTTGCTTCCGTTCACAGTTGGGCTCTACTTTATCTACCTCTTCTTCTATCCTTAAGATCCCCAAATACCCTGAAGTTTCTGGTTAAATACTTCTGCACAGCACTGCAGCCACTTTTAAACATTCCCACCTGGGAGCTGACCAGCACTACAACACTGATTAAATGCTGAGCTGCTCTGCTGAAGCTCCCCGCTTTTCACCCAAGGCTACTTTGCAAATCCGAAAACTTTCATTTGATGGCTAAGCCGAGAGGTTTCAAGTCAAACTCACCATCAGATTTTACAATTTATCAGCCAATTTGTTAGAATATGAATTGTTAGAACTGGCTGTCCACACAAAGGTTGGTTATTTGCCATGCTGGCTGAAAGAGTGGACAAACCTCACATGGAGCTGCCAAAAGTAGTTGGTTCACACTTCAGCGTTTAAAGTTTCTGTTGATGAAAGGCGTCAAAACTACTACTTCTAAAAACGTGTTGTTTAAAGCGGGCGTCTTCACGCAGCGATGCCGTTTCTATGTTCCAAAGGTTGCTATAGTTTCTCGCATGGAGTACGGGGACGGCTCAGATGGCATCGCTCCGTTTCCTCCTCTGTGTGGATTCCCCAGCCACGATACACACTATAATATACAAAGTGTTATCACTGCTGGCCCCCATCCCACCCCTCACCAAGCTGATCACTTTGATGGACGTCCAAAGCAATGCTTTTGAAGCGTTTGTTCGCACATGAAACCGATCGTCGCTCATGAACCTCCAGCCAGCTGGCGTCTGACGTTTGGCTTCAATGGTGGCCTGGTTCTTACAACAATGCCTTAAATGAGCAGCAGTACCACTCCACTCACAGACACAGTCCACCTTATCCCAGCAGACACAATTAAGCAAAGGTGGATCCACTAAAACTTTGTCACATTCACTAAACCGTAAATAGAGTGTGAATGAAAAAGAGAATACATTTTTTCTTCACTAAGAAAGGTCAAAGAAAGAATAACCAACTCTTTTGTACTTTATAATTAACTGGATGTAGCCAGAGTTGAAAATTAAATGTGGGATAATTTTTCTCCCCAGACCTGACTCTGTTCCAGGTTTAAGTCAGATAAACTTCTGTGATTTGCTTATTATTGTGCTAATCCAATCTAACCCATTCAGTAAAGGGACTGCCTGTAGGTTTCATAATTATATCCATACTGCTTACATACATTTCATGCAAACTTCTGGACAATGGTATAAAGAATGAGAGTCATATTTAAGAATCCATAATGGGCTCCATAAAAAAGTCCAATCCTAAAGTCTGGACTGAGTTAATATCCTCCTCAGTCTCAGGAAAGTCCTTAATGGTCTATGCTTGCATGGAAGTGAGCATGCTAACTGCTAATAGCAATACAAGCTAATAACAACAATCATTACATTTGCCAAGTCACTCAAAAAATAAAGAAACTTTTCAACAAACAGCAGTAGAGCACTAAGTATTCGAATGATTTGATGAAATAAAAAGAACTAAGCATGTTCAGATAAAGGGTTTATGACACCTTTTATTAACAGTTGTGTGACAGCCATATTGGATTTTGAGGTTTGGGTTGGTAAGAGACTCTTCAAGACACTGGTTCTGTCCGAACGTCCACCCTCACCCCTAAATCCCTCAATTACTATATAGAGTGGGGACTATATAGTGCACTTTATAGTGAACACAGTTAACTGACTGGACAGATGATCACTTCTTTTCGCTCCCCGTCTGTCACGTAACTCCACCTCTCCGCACGGTGCCTGCGCCATCTTTTTAATCTGTCAGCGACAGCAAATCCCATGATGCTTTGCGAGGAGAGCTATCCCCGCAAAGCATTCTGGGATATATCTGCTCGTCTAGTAACCATGGAGGATCACTACTTTGCCTCTATTTGCATCTGATTATAACGTTAAGGCAGAAATTCACCCGCTAAAAGCGCCCGTTTTTCCGAATGTTGCCGATTTTTTCTTCATCTTTTACCAACAAGCGGCGCTTTTAACGTCCGTCATTATGGTACCGCTTGGTTGCCGCCCGTAGTGACAGGTCAAAAGGCGTGTTCCTGATGTGCGTCGTTACCCAGACAACAGGCGTC